GTGGGAGAAATAGTGCCCTGTTGGTGTCAGTAGGAAGAATAATACCCCATTACTGGTGTCCGTGGGAGGAATAGTGCCTCATTGTTTCTGTCAGTGGCAGGAATAGTGTCCCATTGTCGGTGTTAGTGGCAGGAACTATGCTGTACTGTTGCTGACAGTGGTGGTGGTGGGGAGATAATGCCCAAGGACTAGATAAAATCAAACAGAGGGCCGCATCTGGCTCCTGGGACGCTATTTGGAGATCACTGCTCTAAACCAGTTATTCTCATCCAAAGTTTGGTCGAACCCTAGTGGTCCTCCAGAGGTTGCTAGGGTTGCCTTCACCTGTGGCTGATTGACCTCCCTTCTAATGATGTCTGCATAGTTCAAGGTCTACTGCCTCTTGGCAGAGCCAGCAGCATGACACCAGTGATGCTTTTAGCTCTTTGTAAGAATGGTGTTCTTCTCACCAACCAACAATGTAAGGGGCATTTTCTCAATGAGTCCCAATTAATTTATTTTAGCATGGGTTTATAGAGACCTGAGATTATTGTTAAGGGTTCTTCTGGGATAAACATTTTGAGAAAGGTTGACTAACTGGAGGCCAAGGAAAGCCCTGACCCCTGCAATATGTACAGTAGACACAATTGACCTCTACACTTTGTATGGTACCCACTCCTGACCCCTGTATTCTGTATATTACATACTCTTGACCTCCAAATTCTGTACATAGACTCAAGTGCAGGTAAAATGAACATGTGAACTCAGAAATTTCTTAACCTAATCTCAAATGTACTTAAAACAGAGCTCCATTCAAAAGGGGAAGTTCCAGTTTAAGGCTTCATCTACCACTCCCTGTTAAGGATTGGCACCTTTGGGGTGCGGGTACCCGATTTTGACAGATACCTGCTCCCACTTCCGCTGCGATCGCCTAGGTGAGTAGAAGTGGAAGTTGTCTTCCCTCCCTGTAGTCTTCTGGGACACGTGACAGGTCCCAGAAGACTACGGGACCATTCAAAAGGTGCAGCATTGCGCACACATGCGCAGCGGGCACCCAGCTGTGACGCAGACAGATGAGTGTCTGTTTTTAAAAGTCAGCAGTTACAGTTTTTGTAGCTGCTGACTTTTATTTTTTTAGATTTTGACTGGAGTTCCACTTTAAGTACACCTTAATCATCCTCCATTTGTTTATCTACACAAGCCCTTCTACTGTTGCAGTCTGATCACTTGGGAAAAGGAGACTGAGGAAATGCTTTCTCTTGCTTTCAGTAGACTTGCGGATGACATTGTCTCAGCCTTGGCAAAGTCACTTCACTGGAACATGGGGGCTGCTTTTTAATGGTAGCACTTTTTTTTACAGTTGCATATTGTGACCTCAGTTACATGTAAAGTTGCTGAAAGGTCCACTTTAAAGGAATATGTAAAACAAATGAATAAATGCACCCATATTGCAAAAATAAAAAATGTGCATTGATTACTTTTTGCATTGAAGTCTGAAACACTTTGCAACCAATCAATGCATCAGCAGTGCAATACAAAGACAAGTCTAGACTATTCCCCCAGCTCCAGGTCCTTATAGAGATATAGAACTTCAGTTATGTAGCTGACAGAAGTAATCAGTGGAATTCGAATGGCAGTGATGTCACCACACTTGTGCTCTACAAGAGAACCACAAATCCCTCTGCCACAGTGGGAGATGGGACTTGTAGTCTTCCATTCACAGATCTGTGGTTTGAGGGTGGAGGCTGTGGAATGGCACCATGTTTCATGTTACACCCTAAATATTGGTGTAACGTGATATGGTTAGAAGGGTGTAATTAGCCTTTAATGTTAGAAGAGTAGCATAGCTTTAACCTCCCTAGCGGTCTGATTATGTCCATATTTCTGTGCTCAAAGCGGTACATTTTTTTGCATGGAAATATGTATTTTTTTTATTGTAGGCCTGTAATTTTTAGAAATAACTCACTGAAATCTGTCCAAACAAGAGTCTAGTAAACATCCCTGGTATGTTAGAATTTGAAACACGAAATAATAAATTATAATTTAATAAATAATCATAAAAAATAATAATATAATAATAAAAATTTAATTTAATAATATAATCAAACCAAAAACACTGAAATTTGAAATATAGCGCCAAGTTCGCACATCACTGAGAAAAGTTGCAAAATCGTTTTCAGTGTCTGATGACGAATTTTCCCCATAAATCATTATCACTCAATTCTGCAAGTGGTTCTGATTTACTATCGCTGTTCTCTAGCTGGTCTAAAACCGATTTTGACCTAAAGGGACGCTTTTTGGATGCAATGGGCGTTTCTCAGTTTCCAGACAGAAAGAACAGTAAAAATGCAGGCAGGGCACAGGACAAAGCACTCGGGACAAAATGTATGTGAAATGCTTTGATACTGTAATGTTTTACTATGTGATTTTAGTGAATTTAGTGAATGTCACTTTTTGTCATTTTCAAATTTCCGGCCGTTCCGTCCCCGTACGTCCCGACATCGCAGGGGACGGAACCCAGAAGACAGATGCCAGCATCCGCTAGAGGACATTGCAGGGGACACTGCAGGAGGGACATCGCGGGAGCGCAGGACAAGGTAAGAGAAGAACAGATCCCAGAGCAGCGCCGCATGGTAAGCCCGAGTGTAGCTCGGGGTTACCGCTTGTGGTACTGAAACTTTACCCCGAGCTACACTCGGGAATACCGCCAGGGAGGTTAAGTAGGTATAGGCCAAAAACCAGAAGCAGAGGAACAAGTGCCATAGGATCCATGGTTGCAACGGTTATAATGTTTCAGGGGGGTTCAGGGCCAGTACTCAACCTCTTTTACTGCCTTACTTATAGAAAACAGTGTGCACCAAATGTAATGCTGCTGTCGCAAGAGCGTCAATGTTGAATATCAAAATATCTACTACTGAAATACTTCTTGTCTTGAGGTCCAGCTTCTGTGAGCTTCTGAATCGTATTTGTTTATTTAATTAAACAATTTTATCCTCATTAACCACAAAGTACAGATCAGTATTGGAGCTGGGAAAAAATGGATGTCATCATATTGAAGGGTCAATCTGTTGTGCCAGACAGATTTACTTTGCAAAGAAATCCATCTGCTTGTGTCTTTGTACAAATGTCAGGGCTCCCAGGTGTGACCAGAGGTGTGTGGCTGACGCAGGGAAACGCAGACCTCAGATATGTTATAAACATATAATTTATTAACACTAACAATACAAACATAAACGCAGTGCAATACTAAAACATAATACAGTGCAACCAAACCAAACCAACCACCCACAGATAACAGTACATACAAGCAAGCGTCGTCAGGCAGGTCGGGTCAATATCAATAGGGCAGGTATGTACAGGGGGAGCAAGCGGAGATTGGTCGGGGTCAGAGGCCAGGTTCAGCAGGTAGCAAGCAGCGTAGTACAGAGGGTCAGGCAGAGGGATGGTCAGGGTCACAAGCCAGGGATCAGAGCAGGAGAAGTCAGCAGCGGTTCAGAAACAGGATGCAGGACAGACACAGGATACAGGGCCCAGGACAAACACAACACCAAGGCAGAGTCTGTGGGTCTGGCCATCCCTTAAATACCCCAGCATAATCAGTTCCAGGTGTTAGCTGGCTGCAAAGTTGAGTCTCTGATTGCTTTGAGCATCCGCTGGCCAGCCCTGGTACTGCAGATCAAAAGGCAGGTGAGTCCCACCATTGCTGGCCAGTCCATTCCTGACAGTACCCCCCCCTCAAGGAGCGGCCTCAGGATGCTCCAAACAGTCCTAGCTGGGAAAAATGTTCCACCGCCCGGGTCTGGTAACTGGCGGGATATCAAAGACTGGCACACCGGGCAGGACTCCGGGCAGCGGTACACCGGGCAGAGGCACACCGGGCCGGACTCCGGGCAGAGGCACACCGGGCCGGACTCCGGGCAGAGGCACACCGGGCCGGACTCCGGGCAGAGGCACACCGGGCCGGACTCCGGGCAGAGGCACACCGGGCCGGACTCCGGGCAGAGGCACATCGGGCTACCAGGCGAAGCAGCAGGCCACCAGGCGGAGCGGCAGGCACCGGGCCCCCGGGCGGGGCAACAGGCCTCGGGCCCCCAGGCGGGGCAACAGGCCTCGGGCCCCCAGGCGGGGCAACAGGCCTCGGGCCCCCAGGCGGGGCAACAGGCCTCGGGCCCCCAGGCGGAACTACAGGCCTCGGGCCCCCAGGCGGAACTACAGGTCTCGGGCCCTCAGGCGGAGCGGCGGGCGCCGGACCCCCAGATGGAGCGACAGGTCTCGGGCCCTCAGGCGGAGCGGCGGGCGCCGGACCCCCAGATGGAGCGACAGGCCTCGGGCCCCCAGGCGGAGCGACAGGCCTCGGGCCCCCAGGCGGGGCGACAGGCCTCGGGCCCCCAGGCGGGGCGACAGGCATCGGGCCCCCAGGCGGAGCGACAGGTCTCGGGCCCTCAGGCGGAGCGGCGGGCGCCGGACCCCCAGATGGAGCGACAGGTCTCGGGCCCTCAGGCGGAGCGGCAGGCGCCGGACCCCCAGATGGAGCGACAGGTCTCGGGCCCTCAGGCGGAGCGGCGGGCGCCGGACCCCCAGATGGAGCGACAGGCCTCGGGCCCCCAGGCGGGGCGACAGGCATCGGGCCCCTAGGCGGGGCGACAGGCATCGGGCCCCCAGGCGGGGCGACAGGCATCGGGCCCCCAGGCGGAGCAACAGGTCTCGGGCCCTCAGGCGGAGCGGCGGGCGCCGGACCCCCAGATGGAGCGACAGGTCTCGGGCCCTCAGGCGGAGTGGCAGGCGCCGGACCCCCGGATGGAGCGACAGGTCTCGGGCCCTCAGGCGGAGCGGCGGGCGCCGGACCCCCAGATGGAGCGATAGGCCTCGGGCCCCCAGGCGGGGCGACAGGCATCGGGCCCCCAGGCGGGGCGACAGGCATCGGGCCCCCAGGCGGGGCGGCGGGCGCCGGACCCCCAGGCGGAGCTACAGGTCTCGGCCCTCAGGCGGAGCGGCGGGCGCCGGACCCCCAGGCGGAGCTACAGGTCTCGGGCCCTCAGGCGAAGCGGCGGGCGCCGGACCCCCAGATGGAGCGACAGGTCTCGGGCCCTCAGGCGGAGCAACAGGTTTCGGGCCCCCAGACGAAGCGGCGGGCACCGAGTCACCAGGCACGACAGTGGGCACCGAGTCGTCTGGCAAGACTGCGGGCACCGAGTCAACTGGCGGAACAGCGGGCACCGAGTCGTCTGGCGGAACTGCGGGCACCGAGTCATCTGGCGGAACTGCGGGCACCGAGTCGTCTGGCAAGACTGCGGGCACCGAGTCGTCTGGCAAGACTGCGGGCACCGAGTCGTCTGGCAAGACTGCGGGCACTGAGTCGTCTGGCAAGACTGCGGGCACAGAGTCGCCTGGCAAGACTGCGGGCACAGAGTCGCCTGGCAAGACTGCGGGCACCCAGTCGACTGGCAAGACAGTGGGCTCCGAGTCAACAGGCACGACAGTGGGCACCGGGTCATCAGGTATCGGATTGTCTGGCTCGACAGCGGGCATCGGGTCACCAGGTATGACAGCGGGCACTGGGTCACCAGGCATCAGGTCATTTGGCTTGCCAGCGGGCACCGCGTCATCTGGCAAGGCAGTGGGCACCGGGTCACCAGGTATGACAGCGGGCTCTGAGTCAATTGGCACGACAGCGGGCACTGGATCAGGTACCGGATCATCTGGATCAACAGCGGGCATCGAGTCAACTGGCCTAATAGGATCGTCGGGCTGGATCAGTTCATCATGCTGAATGCAGGCATCAGGCTGAGGAGAGGCTTCAGGCTGAGGAGAGGCTTCAGGCTGAGGAGAGGCATCAGGCTGAGTAGAGGCTTCAGGCTGAGTCACGGAAGGCAGGTTCACCGGTTTGGATACTGGCAGGATGGTATTGGTTGGAAAGAATTTTCGCTTTTTTCTGGTTTTAACTACTGGAGCACTGCAAGTAAACGCAGGTCTGCAAACGAATGGAGCAGCTGGAGACAGAGAAAAACTGGAGGATGGAACAGGAGAGGGAGCAGTTGCTACAGAGGGCTTTTTTACAGGGTTAAAGGCAGGATAGGTGCAGCGAGTGGGAACAGGGTACTGACATGCGGTAGATAGCCAAGTATACTGGGCTGTAACTGGAGGAGCTGGTGGGAATACAGGAGTAGAGTTAGAAGCAGGACTGGGTTTTTGTAAGCTGACTGAGGCTGGGTGCAACAAGTCTGTCCATGTCTGCAGTAGGGGTTGAACAAAGCTGAGCTTACACAAAGCCTGTCTGGTCAATGACTGCACTGCGTTTATACAATCTCTTAGTGTCTGTGGTGAACATGTGGAATAACGCTCCAGAAAGTAACCCACATCATCCTCTAATAACCACACCAGGGACTCTACCTGGTCTGCACTAAATGGTGGCAAAAATTCATCCCTGCATTCGGGGGAACCAGATGAAACCAACTCAGCACAAACCTCAATCAAGGGCTGCACCTCAGAGAACTCTGTGCCCTGATCTACTAGAACATGAGCGAGCCGTATACATTCTAGTAGTTGATCCCTGGGATACTCCTTCAGAGTTTGATAAGCATACTCCCTGTCATCAAACACTAGCAGATATAAATACGCAACCTCATCCAGATCCATCCTTCCCAGCAACAAGCCAAGATGGCTTCCCTGTGCAGCCACTTCTGGTCAGGATTGGCCTTGGTGTAATGTCAGGGCTCCCAGGTGTGACCAGAGGTGTGTGGCTGACGCAGGGAAACGCAGACCTCAGATATGTTATAAACAATATAATTTATTAACACTAACAATACAAACATAAACGCAGTGCAATACTAAAACATAATACAGTGCAACCAAACCAAACCAAACTAACCACCCACAGATAACAGTACATACAAGCAAGCGTCGTCAGGCAGGCCGGGTCAATATCAATAGGGCAGGTAGGTACAGGGGGAGCAAGCGGAGATTGGTCGGGGTCACAGGCCAGGTTCAGCAGGTAACTAGCAGCGTAGTACAGAGGGTCAGGCAGAGGGATGGTCAGGGTCACAAGCCAGGGATCAGAGCAGGAGAAGTCAGCAGCGGTTCAGAAACAGGATGCAGGACAGACACAGGATACAGGGCCCAGGACAAACACAACACCAAGGCAGAGTCTGTGGGTCTGGCCATCCCTTAAATACCCCAGCATAATCAGTTCCAGGTGTTAGCTGGCTGCAAAGTTGAGTCTCTGATTGCTTTGAGCATCCGCTGGCCAGCCCTGGTACTGCAGATCAAAAGGCAGGTGAGTCCCACCATTGCTGGCCAGTCCATTCCTGACAACAACCATCTGAACTGATATATATTAAAGATAATAGACACATTCAGTAAGACACACAGAATAAGTGGTGAGCAGTTAAAGGGTCTGGTGGGCTAAGCTGACCCCTAGTACTTGATAAAAATATCTTGTATACTCCAACATTGAGATCATATTTCCATGCTCTTCCTTTTGATCAAGGAAATTTTGCTTGTTAGTGCTCACCTTTGTGTTTCACCTTCTCCTCCATAATGTAAAATAATTTTAAAAATCCTGCAGTGGATGACCCCCATAATGGGCACACCAGGTGTGCAAAAACAGTTAGCTCATTTAATTCTCCAATATCTACCATAAAAAATGAAGAGATCAGCTCTGTAAGGTCCGACCCTTTTTTAATATAGTCCTACAAGTGCACTCCCGTTACACAACTCGCCCACCTTCCATTCCCCTGTCCAATAAGGGACAGTTTTTCGGCTGGTATCTCTGTTATCCTTGATCTGGAATCCTGCTTAACTGTTATTGACGTAGCTTTCCTCTGACATGCCTCTGGTTTACCCTGCCAGTTTATGTCTGCTGTCTACCTGTGTTAGTCAACTTGGCCTGGACTTGAGACCAAGATTCTCAATTCTGTATCTATCAATTCTGTGCCACAGTGCCTGCACATTGCCTTCTTCTGCTCATCTCTGACCTTCATCCTGCTTGTAATTTGGCGTCTTCCTACCCAGCTGTTACCGAACTTGGTTTGTGACCCAGCTCTGCTCTCTACTGGTCTGGGTGAACTCAGGGTGCCCTCATCACTGCACTTCTGCTTACCTGACCCCCCCAGTTCAAGCCCATAGTTTCATCTTCCTGGCATCTGTGGCCTTCCATTGTCCTATCAGACCCTGCCCCAAACTCCAGGGGTGCTAGGGTGGGAATTGTGCAAAATGCTTTGTCTACTACTAGGCCAGTTCTACCCTGCCCCAGTTTTTAGTTGTTTTTATAAAGGAGTTATCAACTTGGATGGGGTCTAGGAGTATATGGGATGCCCAAGGAACTGTAGAACTTTGGTGTACCCCCTCAGATCCTGGATGAATCCTTCTCTCCAACCAGCTGTACTGAGGGAATCCCTGAGCAAGAGGTTCCAGAAGCATGCAGTTAAGCAGTCCCAGATGAGGACTAGTTGGATATTGTACTTGACCGCCCTTATCTGGCCCAGGGGGTGTAGGTGTACTCACATTGTCCTGTCCTGTCAGTGTGGTGGGTTAGTAACTGCTTTCAGGCCTTTGGCTGGGCTGGCTTCTTCCCTGCTGCTGAGGATGTCCTCCCTGGAAGACTTTGGGCATTGGAGATCCTCCTGTCCAGCAACCAGTCTGTAGGTATGCCCCCCTCCCTGGGGCCCCCTCCCAGGCTCTACACTCCAGCCTTCCTCTCAGTGCATCTTCCACCCAACTCCCCTTGCTCCCTAGGCTCTGTCGTATTTGACGGTTGCCCTGGTCACCATGCCTAGTCTCCTGCTAGGGGATTGGCCAGGGTACCTCAAACATGCATATCTGGGCCTCCTCACCTCCTCCACCCCTCTTCCAGAAAGTTCTCCAGTTTCTGGAAAGGTGGGAGGGCTACAGAAGCCCTAACCTGTAGAACCAGTCCTGAGGCCCTAACCTGTCCTGAGGTGAACTCCTGCCTCATTCCCAGGCTGACTCATCCCAGGCTGCTACTCAGCCTCTATCTAAAAAAAAACAACAAACCTAGCTAACCTACAGGGCATTACAATAGGTTTTTGCCTTTCACTGGGTCAACTGTGGGTATAGGTTCCTGTATATGGAGGTTCTCTATTGTCCAGTGCGCTGCTGGAGGGCTTTGTTTTCAGGTAAGTCTTTCATAATGTACTAGTATGCGATGCATACTAGCATATAATGCTCTTAACTTGCAAGAAGTTTTTTTAGGTTTTTTTTGTGGTTTACTACCACTTTAATGATAATGGTACACAGGACACATAAAAAGGTTAATCTCTCAAACAAGTGCATACACAACAATAAAAACTTGAAAGTTGTTCTAATCCTTCCCTGCTGTATCCAAAGCTAGGAAAAAACGTTTAGATTTTAGTAATCATTTAAGGAATACCACGGTGTCACCTTTCTGTCCACAGTCTGATGTTTAGACGAAGAAAGAGCAGCAGCACGCTGATAAGTCATTGTTGCTGCTCACTTTGCACTGTCCTCTCTTCAGCATGTTCCCTGTCAACTCGTGTGCATGCAGCAGATACTGATCAGCACACGTGTCAGTATTGGTAGTAAAACCAGCCCAAAGGTTTGCCTTCATTAGCCACAGGTAGTTTTAAAACTGAACTCCAGGAAAACACAATATTGTCTAAAAACAAGAGTTATGTGTATTCTTCCATGAATCTTGGTGTACTTCATGTATTTCTTCCAGATCTGTGCAGCAATTCAGAATTATATTTTTCCTCTCTGTAATAAAGACCAGCCACTGTTGCTCTCTCTCGCTGTGCAGGGTGATTGGTCTTGTCTCCACCCCTTCTGTAATTTTCTGCAGACAGCCTATAGTGGGTGGTCCTGTTGGGTCCCTCCCACAGCATTCCTCTCCACACTCGCTATATAAAGCACAGTGATTATGTCACAGTAACTTATACAATGTAACAAATGGGTTTGCTAAGGCATTTTGTGTACACAAAGTGGATTTATATTCTTTGTGACTATGGAGAGCTATAATTAAATGAAAATATTTGTACCCAGAATTCAGCTTTAAAGAGACCTCCTGCCAGAAATAACAATAACAGGTTTAATAAATTCTCCAGAATGTTTCTATCTTCTGTAACAAAAGCTCCATCATTTCCAGTGAATTTCACTCTGGTGTTATCCATTTGCTGACTTACCAGCCCTGAAAGAAGAGAGAGTCTGTTGACCAGAAACACGTTCGATGCTTTTGTAACCTTTGTCAACTTCTACAAAGTTCTAAAAAAACATCAAGTGAGAGGGTCATCTGTTACTAGGTGCTCTTTGATACTTACATACGTTGGTCCAGGTGAGTTTTACTGACTATCAGATGGAGGATTGTTGCCTCACTGGGTGATCACATAAGAGTGGACTCTAGAGCAGTGGACATGTGTTCTCTGGAGTGATGAATCACGCTTCTCTGTCTGGCAATCCAATGGACATGTCTGGGTTTGACGGTTGCCAGGAGAATGGTACTTGCCTGACTGCGTTGTGCCAAATGTAAAGTTTGGTGGAGGGGGATTATGTTGTGGAGTTGTTTTTCAGGGCTTCGGCTTGGCCCTTTAGTTCCACTGAAGGGAACTCTTAAGGCATACCAAGACATTTTGGACAATTTCATGCTCCCAATTTTGTGGGAACAGTTTGGGGATGGCCCCTTCCTGTTCCAACATGACTGCGCACCAGTGCACAAAGCAAGGTCCATAGAGACATGGATGAGCGAGTTTGGGGTGGAGGAACTTAACTGGCCTGCACAGAGTCCTGACCTCAACCTGACAGAACACCTTTGGGATGAATTAGAGCAGAGACTGTGAGCCAG